CTCCCTGTCTAATTTCCATTTCCATCCCAACACTAGCATTCAGTGTTGTTTTCACAAAGGTGATGGGTCTGCATTCTGTTTTTCTCACTTTGTAAGAGTGATCAAACCCACAGGAATATAGAGGGAACACCAGAGTCCCCACTGATAGATGCTGGGCCCTCTTACAGTGTTTGCAGAAATGCTCAGTGGCTGCTCACCCCAGCACCCCCACCACGTGGCAGATGGGTGCAGTTTCCCTTTGTACCTGCACAGAATGACACGTCATGACACATGAGCGCCTCGCCTGGTCGAAGCCACTGTTCAGTCCACAGATGCAGGGTCTGCTGTATAGTCGGCTGCTCCCCACACAGGAACGACCTGCCCGGTTAGGTCTAAACTGGTGCACGAAGTCCTCATAGCAGAAGAGTTAGAATGCAGTAAGATGCAGTCTGCCTTGGCACCAAGACTATGTGAGCAGTAGTGGGGTGGTTTTGTAAGGTCCCGAAGGTGCTTCAGAATTGGGCAGGGTCTTGGTTGAGGCATACTCACCATAACTTCCGTGAGGAGAGGGTGTGGAGCGGACGCAGAAGAGAGGCCTGGGGAACTCTGGCCACCCTCCTGTGCCCCAGAAGCTCTGTGTGGCCTAGGGCGGGGGGCGTGTATCTGTCTGCCTTCCTGATCTGGGAGCAGATGTGTGCCCCGCCACAGCGGGGAGTGCCAGGTGGCATAGGTGTACATTGGCAGAGGCAGGAAAGAGAACCTGCCGTTTTCTCCTAATTTCTAAGTTAATTGCTAAGGGCCTTTGCAACATTTTTAATGTGTGAAGAGCCTTTGAACAGATGGCAGGTACCAAATAAGATAATGGAAGTGGTGGGAAAGGGCATTCTTTTGATGAGCTTGTTGCTTCACGTTGTGCCTGGCACTGCTAGGTGCTCAGTCTCAGTCCCCAGGAAGGCAGGGACATGATATTTTCATCAGAGGCAGTGTAACATGGAGATGAAGGGCATAGACTGCAGAGGTTCAAATCCCAGTTCTGCTGCTCTCTTGCTGTGGAAGCTCAAGCAAGTTTAATGCCTCAGTGTCCTCATCTGTAAGAGAGAGTTCTACTAATATGAACCGAGGGTTGTCGTTAAGAACTTCAAATGAGTTGGGGCGCCTGGGTGGCTCAGTGGGGTAAGCACCTGCCTTCAGCTCAGGTCATGATCCCAGGGTCCTGGGATCGAGCCTCACATTGGACTCCCTGCTCCATGGGCTTCTCCCTCTGCCCCTCACCCTGTTCTCATGCTCTCTCACACACACACTGTCTCTCTCTCAAATAAATAAATCTTTAAAAAAAAAATTTAAATGAGTTTACTTAGAAGAGTGCCTAGCACCTGTTGTCGTTGTTAATACCATCAGCGGGAGCATCAGCCACGTGCGGCTCCCCATGGGGCCGGCTACTCTCTCCGTGTCTAGCCCCCGTTCTGGATACACTCCTGCAAGCTTTTTAATTGGCCCCGGGTTGCCAGTCTGGGGTTCCGTTAGCTGCCAGGTCACTCCCTGCCACATAATCAGCTGTTCCTCAACTTGCACTTTGTGGGCTTTTTCTTCTCTTGAGTCTGCCACTGGGCAGCTGTCTCTGTCAGGTTTCGTTCTCCTTCTAAATATAATCCAGCTAATTTTTTTTTAAAGATTTTATTTATTTATTCATGAGAGACGGAGAGAGAGGGAGAGAGAGAGAGAAGCAGAGGGAGAAGCAGGCTCCCAAGGAGCAGGGAGCCCAATGCGGGACTCGATCCCAGGACCCTGGGATCATGACCTGAGCTGAAGGCAGACGCTTAACCATCTGAGCCACCCAGGCGCCCTAATCCTGCTAATTTCTGCCCTGTCATCAGGTTCAAAGGGTGTGGGACTTAGAACAAGAATGGTGCTTGAGAAACCAGCCCTCCTCCTCTTCCAACTGCATAGCCTTCGGACATTTTGTCGTCTCCAAAGGTAGAACGGACAAGACAGCTTGGCGAGAAGACAGTAGCATGCAAAAAGACATTGCTTCCACGGCCCGATGCAAGGGTGAATCGGGGCTTCTCCCCAGGGCAGGCCGCGAAGGTGGGGCTATCCCTGTGCCTCGCCTCACACCTGCAGTGACCAGCTGACAGATCCATTGGCGGTGGAGGACTCTTGTTAGCATCTCCGAGGCTGACCTGGCATTGGCTCTGGGTGTCATTGAATGCTTCAGGGAAATTTGATTAAAATGTGAAAAGGATGCTTCCCTGCCATAGAGCTGTAGAGGCTGTCCGGTGTTACACGAAAGACGGGACTGGTTGTCCCTGCCGCGTTAGCTGTGGCTGAAGGAACAATTAGTGTTACATTTGGCCAGGAGACTTGATGCGCCGTGTCGCTACGGTGTCAGCTCTGATGTAGGAGAGGTCAGTGCAGAGTCGGACACCTGCATGTCGCCTTTGAGAAAGAAGCTAGGGGCTCCCTAACGCAGTGGCCTTTTTGCGTTGCTCTTATATGGTTTTTATGTAAGGGAACCACCAGCCAAAAGTTTTCCTGAGAACACCAGATGGCTGCACTGCCATGTTCACCAGGGACTTCTGAGATTCGTGCCGAGCTTATTAGCAGTTGCCGATCTCATAGAAAACTAAGGAAATCTTATCTAGAATGCTGTGGGTTTTTTCCTCGAAAGGTGGACTTCTGATCTAAAGAGCCAGGGCAGGCAGCCCACGTGCGCCTCGGCATTGATCCGTCATTCTCTGGGCGGCAGCAGCTCGGCCTCCTTCAGCCCTGCTGCTGGCCACTCACCCCATTACACCCGCAGATTTTCACGTCCGCTTGCATTTGTGTACTGAAACCGTGCATCCAGTGAAGTACGGTTCCAGCTCCGACAGGCTTCATCACAGCACTGACACAAAAAGACAAACAGAAATCTGACTTGCCATGTTATCCATCCAATAAAAAAAACCACCCAAGGGTAGAAGAAGAGCTATTCATCACGTCCCAGCACAGCCAAGCCTGGGAGTTCAACTGCAATATTTCTAGGTGGCTTTAGAAAACCTTTCCTTGGCAAAGCAAAGAGTTCTCCTTCTGTCAGCTCTTTTCACCAGCGAGCCAGCCTGTCTGGGTTAGAACAAAGGGAATTCTGCCCGTCTGATTTGGGCCGGAGAGCGGTTTTGTACTTCCCCAGCAGTTTGCTGTATCATGGTGGAAGTTGGAATACTTTTCCGTAAGTTAAGCAGGTCTTCCTCTTCATTCTGCCTGCGTTTCCCTTATCTGCAGTCAAGCTTTGGCTGCTGAGGCAGCCTTTGCCCTGGTTTAGCATGAGCAGAATAGTAACGTTGGCCTAAAAAGAGATTCAAGAGAGGATTATGGGATTATTCAGTAGGCTTGTCACCAGAGAATGTATCTGTTACAAAGGGCATGTAGATTTTTTTGTTATTATGGAATGTCTACTTTAGCAATTGTATGCCCCTGTATATTTTACAGCATCTACAATAGCTAAACTTTCAGAGCACTTTTGTTAGTATGTCTTGCTCTTCCGAGTACCTTATTTTTCCAGAAAGTTCCTTCACTTAACAAAGCTTTTCTGAAAGGGGCAAGGGTGAGAGCCTTGCCCACAGTATGAAGCTTAAAAGACCATTTCAAGGGAAGTGTGGTTTGATTTGAATTGCAGCAGGTAGGAGAAATCTACTAAGAAATGTGTTCCCTCTGCATTTGGTCGCTTCACCTTCCCGTACGTGAGGAGCACATGTTTTTCTTTTTTTTTTTTTTTAAAGATTTTATTTTATTTGACAGAGCACAAGCAGAGGGAGAGAGAGGGAGAAGCAGGCTCCCTGCTGAGCAAGGATCCCGATGTGGGACTCGATCCCAGGACCCTGGGATCATGACCCGGGCCGAAGGCAGCTGCTTAACCGACTGAGCCACCCAGGCTTCCCTGTTTTTATTTTTCTTATTGGAAAACAGAATGGACTTAGCCAGACTTTTTGGTTCTGCCAAACTGATCTGAGCCGGCAGTTAGCCATAGTAGTTAAGGCACTTGATGAGTGCCTTGGGGTTACTCTTATGCAAGACTGGGACAATTCTAATATTTAAAGGTGAACATGACACGATAAAGAAGGAGCATTCACTTGTGATTTTTTTTTTTTTAAACACGTGGTGATGGCAGGCGTGGATTCCGTCCACAGATACTTACCAAGTAGCTGCCATTGCCCAGCACTGACTTAGCTCTAGTTGTAAAGTGAACCGGACAGAATGGCCCCCGACTCACAGAGCTGACAGTCCCGAGTGGGGGTAGAGTCTTCTTCAAGTCCCCTTGATGATTGTTTTCACGGAGCAAGAGGAGAGGCAGGGTTAAGCTGTGTCTGGCTTGGCTCAGAAGGCCTGGAAGCCACTGCTGCCTCCATCGGTCCTGTGGTCTAAGTGGATCACATGTACCTGGCTTCTTCCTCATTTTGAAAACCATTTCTGTCACTTCCTGGGATGATGTGAAGATCCATATCGTTACGATCCACTTTTCATTTTTCAGAGGTAGAATATTCCATCTGTTCCTTCTTGACTTGCTTCTTTTCCGGCCTCCTTATTCTCACAGTCGCTGGGACTTCCAGGAGAGAATAGACCTGGAAAGAAGAAGGACAGGAAACTCGGGCCAGACATCGTGGGCCTGAGGATAAAAGGGTTAAGGTTGTAGGGTACACAAGGCTGCACTACAGTGAGAGGGCAGGTGAGTTTGGGGGAGAGTGGATTTCATTGTCCTCTGGTTCACCAAGCCCGGCTCTCTGACATGTGTTTGTTCCTGTGAGAAAATGCTGTGTTAAAAAAAAACACAGTGACAGTGGTAGAAGTCGAATACTTGCTGTTTACTGAAAGTGATCACAGTTTTCTGGTGACGGTTCTGTATTTAAGAAAGTACAGGTAGAGGTCTCGGGAGGCAGAGGGTGACAGTTTCAGATCTGCCTTCAGAATGCCGATCTTTCATTTGGGGGGAGACTTTATACATATATATATATACACACACGTACATACTTTTTTTTCTTTCTTTACAGAATGAAGTTGGCCTACTGGAGTTCTTCCAAAATGTGATAAAAGAAACTGGGGCAGAGCCAAAAAAAGTAACTAGTTGGGTCCTCAACATTTTTCTGGGTTTTTTAAAGCAACAGAACCTTGCTGTCAATGAGAGGTGAGTGGGGTCTGGAGATTCTTTTTTCCTTTTTTTGATGAACTCGGTGTCCAGAAGCAGTTGAAGTAGGGCAGGGCCAGTGTTTTGTTCTCCCTCTTCCCCCTCAGGATCTTCTGACAAGACACACACACCCCCTGTGAATTCCAGATTCTAAAGCTGTCCTCCCTCACATCTGAAATTTCGTTTATCTGTTCGAATCTTTGTGCTGCCCTTTGTACTGTGCTGGAGCTGCGGACCTAAAGATGAGTAAGACAAGGGGTATGCAAGCTGGTGGGGGATATGGGCCTGTAAGAGAGCAGGTAGTCACCTCAGTGTGATTCTTTTAGGCCGGAGGCGCAGGGGGTGCCCTGAATGAACACAGAGGGGGCCTGACCCGAGGCCAGAAGGTGGACGAGGTTTCTCTCAGAAGCGGATGCTGGAGCTAGGCCCCAAAGACCTAGTGGGAGTTGCCAAGTGATGGGAGGGGCGAGGGCATTCTAGGCAAGGGAGTGGCAGATGGACACTCAGAGGCAAGCGGGTGTATGGGCTCAAGAAACCCAGAAACTCCGGGGTGCTGAGGGGCAAGCAGGACGGCTCAGGAAAAAGCCACAGAGACCACCAGAGGCCACCGTGCAAACACTTCTGTCAGCAGCTCCCAAAGCCATAGATGTCCAGCGCGCTCCAGTTTCGCTTTGGGGGAGTCAGTTGGAGGAACAGACCAGAAGCAAGGAGCCAGTTGCTGGAGTGCCAGTGAGAAATGCCATGGGCCTGAGCCGAGGTAGATGGACAGCAGTTCTCTCACGTTGTACAACTTCCAGTTCTTACTTGGACAGTGGAGTGAAATGGAGGGCAGCATCTTACAGTCTAGTGAGAGGTGGAGGAGGAGTGAGTTTAGAGGCAAGGGGCGGGGCAGGATGCCATGTTCCATTTGGGACGTGCTGAGTTGGGCCGCCTGGAGGGCGGATAACCAGGAGGCAGTCAGATACATGATCTATCGCTAACAAGAGAGATCTGGGAGGTATAAATCCTAGAGTTCTCATTTGTTCATTATTCAGCACATGTTTATTTAGACTCTGCTCTGTGCAAAGCACTGTGCTAAACCTGGGGAAGACCAATCAGCACAACAGATGTAGGCCCTGCTCTCGGAGCTGACAGTCTAGAAGCCGGTGATGACAAAGCAATGAGCTAGGTGGTCTTGAGAAGCGGAAGGGAACAGCTAAGCTAAGGCCTGAGGGAAGGATGAGTAAGGTTAGTCAGGCAAAATCCAAGAGGTAAAAGTGGTCCAGTATAGGGAACAGCACGTGTGAAAATCTTGAGGTGAGTCCAGGCATCCTATGTCGGGGAACACAAGTACATAGTCCAGTATAGGTGGAACGTGGACTTAGCAGCTTATAGATAGTACTTGAAGTTGTTGAAACAGAAGAGGATCAGGGAGGGTATGGCCTGATGGGACGGCTGAGGAAGGAGCTGGAGATGCTCTAGACTCTAAGTGAGAAGCGCAGGCAGAGAAGGAGGCAGCTGAGAAGAAATGTCAGAGAAGAGAACTGGGACAGAATGTCACAAAAGCCAAAGGAAAGGCAAGAGTGAGCAGCAGATTGCAATATAGGGAGTGAGGGAGAGAGCGTTCATGAGAAGCACCCCCCCCCCCCGCAAGGCCCCAGGGGAACGTGGCGCCCCCTGTCAGCAGGCATGCCTTTGTCTCAGCATCCCTGCCATTGTCTCAGCATCCTGAGGCCGTAGAGAGTAGAGGAGGGGGATGAACCTACATGGATACATGATCCCAGAAATTTGTTTGCTCAGAGAAGGTCTCGCTGTACAGTGCCCACTTCCTTACTTGGCTCCTTACCAGCAGTGACCTTGGATGAGTTCCCCTCTCTCACCCACCATTGCTTCACTATGAAACGAAAATGGTAGTACCTAGGTACTGGCAAGGGTTTTGGAGAGGAAAACGCACGGTGCCTGGCACGTAGTGGGCCCTCAGCGTTCGTTTCCTTCTCTTCGCCGTGTTGGCGTGTTAAGTACCGAAACAACGGCCACCCTCAGCCCCCTAAACTCCTTTGGCATCTGTTGCCTCTCTTTTGTTCCTGCCCTTTCGGGTTTGACCTCTCTTCGGAAGCTCCACTCTTTACACTGAAAGTACGGTGGCCGTTCAGGGAAGGCTGGAGCCATCCAGAAGAGTTTAGGGAGGACAAACAACTGTGCCAAAGCCTTAAAGAACGGATAGGAGTTGGTGAGGCAGAGGTCTGGGCGACACCTGTGGAGAGCCAAGGGCGGGAATGGAAATGCATTGCACGTTCTTCGACCGAGGAGGAGCATAGCTTGTAGGAGCAGAGGGTGGGGGGCAGCAGGAAGGCACAGCTGGCGGACCGGCGCAGGGCTGGGATGTAAGGTTGTGGGGAGTCACCAGGGGGTGGGGAGGGGGTGTTAGCCGTGACCCCAACAAGTGCAGTAGAGCGCCCCTCTGGGCAGGGCACGAGGTCAGATGAGGAGGCCCCAACCCCGGCCCTCGAGGGGCTCGCCATCTCCTGGGGAGGACTAGACTTGTGCGGCAGCATTTTAATCCGAGGCAGAAAGCGGTGCTTCTGGAAGCGCCTGTTGGCCAGAAGAAGCCAGGAAGGCTCCAAGATGTGGTTTGAGCTTTCGGAGGAGTTAAAAATCTGATCCTTAAATTGATGGTTTTCCATGTCGTTGGCTATGATGGACTGTGTTGGCCTAGAGTCACTGAATTTTAGTCCTGGCCGAGACCTTAGATAACTTCTGGTTCCGCTCTGTCCTTTAGCAGACAAGGAGATCAAGGCCCTGGCCAGTAAGATGACATACCTCAGGTTGCTCAGCTGCCGAGACTGGTAGCCGAGTCCCCTGACTTTCAGACCAGCTCCTTTATATGTCGGTCTCAAATTAGGGGTTTGCGTACCGGCCACATTGGTAGCTGCTGAAGGTGCTGAGGTTGATAAATTAGCTTGTAGAGTGAACTTGGAGCCCCTGATATTTACCCAAACAATTCATAAGCACTACAGTTTTAAGAACCCAGAGGGTACTCAATTCTACATAAACCTAATAAGGAGGTGTTCCCAAAGCAGATAAACGGGGGAGCTAAGCTACGGTTCTGTACCCAATTTATGGAGAACCAGGACTGAGGACCCAAAAGCAAGCTGTAGCAACTGTCTTCCTGCACAGCTCAGAGAACCACCCTTAGCTGCACTGGCCGTAGCGGCCTCACCTCGGAACAAACAGTAGTTAATGAGCAGCCGCAGCTGCTGGAGCGAACATCTCCAAAGCTTAGAACGGCAGTCTCTGTGGAGCTGTAGCAGTAGTCGTGTGATGATGCCAGCCAGGGAACACTCTAGAGGTCAAGATGGCAAGAACTGATTTTGCAAATTAGCATTCATCTTTAAAGACCTGTCAGAAGACTGGTGTTTAAAGGGTCCAACCAGAAGAGCTCTTGTCAAACTCGGCTTTTTAATTATTTTGAGCATGTTGCTTTGAAAGTTGTTTTTCTGTTAACTCCTTCTAAATTGCTATTACTAACAGGTTGGATTTAGTTAAGAACGTGGAAATTACAGCTACCCTGAGCAGGTGCTTCACAGTGATACCAGGCAAGTGCCACCATCCAGTCGTCTGGTCCAGTCGAGTGCCCCGAACTTCCAGGCCAGCCGTGGGCAGCCGTTCCTGAGGCACTCGCCACCCAGGGCAGGCTTTGGAGCCAAGAGGGCCTGATGGCGAGGGAGGAGAAGTCCGGCAGTGGGGTGTGTGCGATAGCATCCAGGAGTGGGGCTCCAAACCCCATTAAAGATCATTCTGGCAGCCCTGGGAGTGAGCATGGTTATTACCTCGTAAAGCAAAGCAAAGAATATGTGACAAAGACCATGTGTGGCCCACAGAGCCTTAAACATTTGCCCTCCAGCACTTCCCGGATGAAGTTTACTGACCCCAGCTTAGAACATATTTGGTGAGAGGTCATTGAGTCCAGTGGTAGAGAGAACTGGATCCTGAAGAAGCAGAGGCAGTCTTGGGAACAGATGGGCTTCGCTTGTCTGCCAGCCTGAGGTGGTGGAGGCAGAAAACCATATGGAGAAGAGCCCTGGCCGCTCCTTATTAGCGGGACATTCAAGGAAAAGAAAGAGAATGCGGAGGTCCAAGGAGAAGGGGTGTTTGCAAGGGGCTTTAAATGTAGCCCAGAATTGGGGTGCAACAGAATGGGGGGAAAGCAGTTATGCTTGGCAACAAGCAAAGGGTATGTGATTTTTTTTAAGAGAAGAGCTTCTGTAGAGGGCTAGGATTAGTATCCACATGGCTGTGCTCCCAAGGGTAGATAGTAGCCACTAATGCCAGATGTTTATTGGTAAAGATAAGAGCCCAGGCAGAAGTAAGTGACTCCAAAATCACTTGCAGACATTTTCAGGATCGGGAAGATCTGAGCATTTGTGAAGGTGCGTGATTAAAGCCCCAGGAGAGAGGAAACAAACATGCGAGTGGGATCCGTAAAAGTGGAAAGTAATTGGGATTAAAGGCGTGAGTCGGGTTTGTTTGCTGGAACCAGGAGGAAGAGGGTACAACAGAAAATTCTGAGTCTTGCATCAGCTGGTGACCTTACGAAGTGAGAGGTGAAGGAGGGCCTGTGCCAAGAAGGAAAGTGGGAAGGAGACTGTCTGGAACAGGTGCTGGGTTGGGGCACCCGGTAGGGGTGCAGGGAAACCGTCGAGATGAACACAAGGATTATTGACCAGCAAGAGCCACCTGGGTGTCCAGGTCCCTCTGTCTTCCTCCAGGAGCTTCCTGTGTCCCATCGGAACGGAAGCAGAGGTGGCCTTTGGGCCTGAAAAGAGTGTGGGGATTGAGATGGACCGCACGTTTCTCCGATGAGCGGAGGGGGCTGGGGAGGTATGGTTGTAGAGATAGCAGAGTGTTTACTCCCAGAATCCAAGCTGGGGATGGAGTCGTGATCCTGAAAGAGCTCTAGGGGACTGGAGGAAGTTGGCAGATGGGAAAGATCCCTCTGTACACACGCAGGCCTCAGGGGATTGGAGGCTGGCACACAAAGCTTAAGCCTTCCAATGTCAGGGGCTTCTTTAGTGGAGACATATTCACTGTCCAGGAACCAGCATTATCTGACAGCAGCAAATAAGTAGCTTGTGCTTCTGCTGCCATTATGTTGCAGATCTGATGGTTTATTTATTTAACTGATGAGTGGGGTCTTCTACCATCAGCCTGACAGGTACTGATCTTTGTCATTGTCTCACTCAAGGTTAGCCCGGGCATATCTGGAATTAATGTATGTGGTATACCAGATAGCTCTCCCTGTTGGTGGGAAGAGTTCTGTGACACAAATATTAGTGACTATGTGTCAAGCATTTGTGGGTACAGAAAGGTGAGTGAGAAATCTCCAATGCTGGTTAGGTCAGTGGAAATATTTTATAGTGTACATTTATGACCTAACTAATGAATTAAGGTCATTAGATGAAAGGCAAAGTATTTTTAGTTATGTTGTGATCTATTTCTGTTCTTCTCTGTCTCCATGTCCCTGATACCATCAACTCATGTGGGAGAAGGGACCTTTTCTTTTCTGCATGCTCTAGAAATCCAGTTTAACATCGGTGCTTATCATGGGTTCTACCTACTGTCTACACTCTAATTAGCCACCGTATTTTCTAGGATTGCAGAACACCCAAGGGACACTCGTTTTTCAAACAACCTGCTTCTTTGTCAGTAAGGTGGAAGGTTGGAAAAGGGATTTATTGGTTTATTTCCAGCTCTCTGCCCCTCTTCCTGTTGAGATTTAATCAGGGTGGTTCACAGATGTTCCAAATACCAACTTAATAACACCAGTTAGTCTCCAAACCTAGTTTTCACTTGGAATTACCTTTTATCCCTACTTTGGGATAAGCAGAGACTTTAAGGATGATGGTCTGCCTCTGTGTGTCAGCTGCTTCAAATGAACAACCGTAATGAGGCTTCACTGGACTTGAACCAGAGTCCAGTAAGTCAGAGCTGGTGAACTTGCACTCACAGGGTTTGGAATTCATGGAAACTGGATGGGGGCTCCATGGCAGTTTCCTTTTCATTATCTAAGAGCTTACAAAGAAATTAATTGTGATTGATGAGAACTAAGACATAAACAGAAGGTGTTTTCCCTTGGCGTTAAACATTTCAGAAGCTCTCATTCACACTGATGTGCTATTTATAAGTCCTTCCTCTCTATTTAAAACTAGTCCCCTAATGACCTCAGATAAACAGTGTTTTACTAGCCTAGTTGCTCTATGTGTTTAAAAGTAGCAAAATCACATATTTTTAAAGAAATGGTGCGTAATTCAGTGTTGTCTTTTCACTAATCTAGGCACTACCCCACACATACACACACACACACCACTCCTACCCCCGAATGTGAATTAATGACACTTTATGGGTTTGGTTGCTCCTTGGCCTTTCTTTTATCATGGGATCTTGGCAAGTAAGCCACATCCTAAAAGTATGGATACGATGGGTTCTGGACCCTTCTGTTGTGAGTCTGGAGAGAACAGTGTCTGTGCTGATGCCCATAAGGACAGTTAAGGACACGGATGGCAGTCATGGAGAGTTCCCTTAAAGAAAAGCTCTTACAAGTACAAAGAACTTATATTTGCATAAAAACACTCAGAAAAGTAGCTTTGTTAGCTCTTTTGTTTGAAGTAATTTTTAGGCTGATCTTGCAGTTGAAAATATTTAATTACTGGGTTGTTTTGGGTTTTTTTTTTCTCTTATCATGGTTCATGAATTTTGCAGCCACTCCTTTTTTTGACTAATTAAACTGAGCAGTTGTCTGTTGCTACAACTTTTGCCAAACAGCCATTATTGTTGAGTAGTAAAATAAAAACACTAGTCACCGAAATTTGTTATATCCTAAAATACAAAATAAATAAATAAAATAGAGCCCAATTGGCATATTATTTCCATTCCTGGGTGTGGGTTTCATTATTTAAACCTACAAAATCAAGGGCTTTACTTCTGAATAACCATAAATGGGTATGCTGACAGTGTGAAATGTAAGTTTATTTTCTCTCCTTTCGGGGGCTGCTAGTCCTGTCACGCCTTCTGCGCTGGCTGAGCTGCTCAACCTGCTGGACAGAAAAGCCATCTCTTCATCAGCAGCTAGACAGGTATGTCGATGCTTCCTAAAGCTTCGGACTGCTCTGCTATCCCAGTAAATGTTTTATGCCAAATGCCATCACTAAGTGAACTTCGTAATTCAAGTATTCAATGCCTGTAAATGCTGTTTTTATACTGAAGAGGTAGAAACGTTTCATTTAGCAAAAGAAAAAAAAAAAGCCAGTATGTGCGATGTAGGTAATACGCTCCTCATCTTTGCTTAGCCAGGGGGAATAGTTCCTGTTTGGTTTGGCCTGGAATGTTTTCCAAACATTTGTTTACGTGAAAGGCGGGACTGTAGCTTGTGGGGGCTTCAGAGCGTGTGCACTGCCCCTGCGCCCCAGAAGGCCAAGGTCGGCGGCGGCTTCACCACTGCTCCCTGACCCACTGGTCCCTCTCAGTCCTCCGCAGCTGCCCAGCCAGTCCTAGGGGCTTACTGGTGGTCTTCGTTGCCTCATCGCCCCCCTGAAATTCAGTCTTCCGGCAAGGAGGATGAGGTCAGACTGCCTATCACTTAGCAGATAAAATTTTATACATGCGCCCAGTGAATGCAAGCTGCGAAAACCAGCAGCAGCGTCAGAGTGGCCTCAGCTTCATCACCCTCCACCTGACAGTCATAGGTGGCTGAAAGATTCCTGGAATCCAGAAAACTCTCACAGGTAAGTTCCCAGAAAGACAAAGAACACCAAGGCGGCAGCCTGATCTCAACTTTGGATATCGAAGCCATCGATGCTTCAGCCAGAAACTTAATGTGACTTTAATGGTGCCTTTTGCATTTACTATTTATACACATCGGCAGTAGTGGCAGGTACTGAGTGAGGCTTTGGAATAGCAGCTGCTTTGGGCTAATTATAAGGCACTATGGAGCTCACACCCAGCTCTGTGCAATGAAACTGGAAACAGAACTAATAAAGGTTCTGTCTCCCCGCCACCCAGTGAGGCTGTCAACTGCAGGGACCTTGGCACATGTAGGAAAGGATTTTGGTTGCTTGGACGTCAGAAGAATACAAATGTTTATGACAGTGCTCAGCAGTAGCAGAAAGATTAGATGGCCTGAGGGTAGAAAAAAAAAACTATGTATACATAAGAGCAGGTGAATTGTAGCATTTGAAATGAAAGAGGGGTAAAAAATTTCCCCTTCTCACTCATCCTGTCCCACCAGACCTGGGGAAGCAGGGAAGGAGAGAAGGAAGAAAGGAGGAAGGGGAAGGGAGGGAGGAAGGAAGGAAGGAAACCTAGTACAGTGAATTTGATTTGTTCAATGGGAAGAAATGGAAAACGCTAGAAGATGCTGACAGCTGGTCCAGATACAGATAGGGACACCTTTGGAGTCTCTCAACTTCCAGCATGTTTAAAGGAAGCAGGGTGAATCCTGGCTGCTATGAGGTAATCAAACTAAAAGTCTGATTAGAAAGGTGTTAAATGTATGCTGGCATGAGGGAATCTCCTGTATGTATTATTGCCTTGGGAGTTTTCCTTTTTTTATTTTTCTACTTTTTCTGTTTTTAAGAAAATCACTTACTGATTTTCTGGTGTGAAAAAAGAAAGTATTTGTTCATTATTAAGAATTTAATGCAGAAAAATACAAAGATCTTCAGATTCTACCACCTTGAAATAACTACCATTAATGCTGGGTGAACACCATTCCAGGTACCCTTCCATGCACATATACCATTATAAGCACAGATTGATGGGATGGGCAGACGTGAGGTTAGAGAAATAAAGACTTTAGAAAGTAAGAAGTTATAGTACTTTTTTTTTAGTTTATTTCTTTATGAGGTAGACAGTTCATTGGGTTTGTTTGTTTTTTAAATTTTATTATGTTATGTTAGTCACCACACAGTACATCATTAGTTTTTGATGCAGTGTTCCACGATCCATTGTTTGCGTATAACACCCAGTGCTCCATGCAGAACGTGCCCTCTTTAATACCCATCACCGGGCTAACCAATCCCCCCACCCCCCTCCCCTCTAGAACCCTCAGTTTGTTTCTTAGTATATTCACAAAGCTGTGCAGCCATCAACAGTAATTCCAGAACATTCTCATCACATCAGAAAATAAACCATCAGCAGTCACTCCCATTGAAAGGATCATACACCATGATCAAATGGGATTTATTCCAGGGATGCAAGGATGGTTCAACATCCACAAATCAATCAACATGATACACTACATTAACAAAATGTGGATAAAAATCCTATGATAATCTCAAAAGGTGCAGAAAAACTTTTTGAGAAAACTCAACATTCATTTATGATAAAGAATCACAACAAAGTAGGTATAGAGGAAACATACTTTAACGTAATAGAGGCCGTACAAGCCCACAGCTAACACACTCTACCCCCTTGCCCTAGGTTACCACTAATCTTTCTGTCTCTATGGATTTGCCTGTTCTGAACATTTAATGTAAATGGGCTTTATGTAGCCTTTTTTGTCTGGCTTCTTGTACTTAATATAACTTCACAATCCATCTATGTGGTAGCATGTGCCAGTACTTCATTTCTTTTTAAGGCTAAAGAATATTCCATTGTAAGTATATGTCACATTTTGCCTCTCCGTTCATCAATAAACGGACATTTGAGTTGTTTCCAGTTTTTGGCTCTTAAAAAACATGCTGCTTTGAACATTTGTGTTCAGATGTTTTGGTTTAAGTGTATATTTTCAGGTTTCTTGGGTATAGACCTATGAGAATGGAATTTCTGGGTTATATGGTAATCGTACATTGAACATTCTGAGAAGCTGCCTCTTTTCCAAACTGGCTGCACCACTAACATTCCCGCCAACAACACGAGGGTTCGTTTCTCCATATCCTCCCCAGCACTTGTCTGTCTTTTTGATTATAGTCATCCTAGTAGGTGTAAAGTGATACCTCACTGTGGACTTGATTTGTATTTCCCTAAGGACTAACTACATTGAGCATCTTTTTATGTCTTTTATAGTGTATGCTCTTTAAAAGAAAAATGTTACAATTAATTTTTACTGAATTTAACAAAAGAATCCAGGTAGGCCTTGGGTTTGAGAAACCCTGTGAGTCAGAGGGTACTCAAGCAGAGCAGAAAGATTCTCTGCTTCCATTCCTTATTGATGTTTTGCTCTGACAGAACTGGAAGCGGTTCCAGTAGTGATTAGATGACCAGGAGATGAGGGGAAAAAGTTGACCAAGTAACTGACTCCTAAGGATGACAGATTGGTAGAAAGAATCATCCTGTCCTTAGAACATTCTGAATGCCAAAGAATCTCCCACTTTATGTCTAATTTATTATTAACCCATCTCTCCCCCTTACATCGTTGGCCATTATTTTGTCCCTTACACCTTTCACTGCACCTTCCTCACAGGTGTTCAGCGGTGCTTCTGAGATTTACAAACCTCATCCCTTTAAAGGCACCCCAGGGGCTAGGGGAGTTGAGAGGTTGCTACCATGAAGCACCCCTATTTTTCAGAAATGGAAAGAGAAAAGGATTTATCATTATGAGCAGCCTCCTGGTAACCATAAACAAAATCATCTGGGTTCCTGTCACAGGATCCAGTGCTACCTGTCGAAGTGGTGGGTAGCAGCCCCCTCTCCTCCCCTCCCCAAGGAGAGGGCCGTCAGAGTCACAGTTCCCCTGCAGACAGTGTCCCAGGATCCTGAGCCTCTTGTGACTCAGGGGCCCGGGGTGCTGTCCAGACTGCTGGCCAGCGCAGCCCCAGGGGAAACCATGCAGTGTGTTTGTGTCCCCTTTGTGGCCGCCTGAAATAGATGTGGATGATCCACTGTCTCCCAAACCAAGCCAGCTTGGGATTCTGTATAGATGGAAATTGAATTTTAACATGTAGGTGTGCCACTTAACCCATTTCCTCTTGTCTTTGGGGTCTGCTTTAAAGAGAAATCACCAAACCCTTTTAATGTAGAAAATGTTCTATGTCCTGCAGTAAAATGGTTACAAATGATTTAAAGTCGTCTCTCCCTATTAGTGCTTCAGTTCTATGTGCATCTTACTGTGCCCCACTTCTCTTAGGGGCCTGGGTGGTGGTTTGTGCCTTTCTAGAAGAATGACCTTTCCCAGTACTTGCGTTTGAGCAGAGGGGACCACCCCCCCTTTCAGTAACTGCCACAGCCCCCTCCCTGCCTTCTCCCTTGAACAGGCCTTTCCTCCACACTCTGACCCTGGAAACCCCTGGACAGGCGAGGGGCCTGCCTGCTTTCCTTCCATCCTTCCTTCCGGATACTTTAACAATAGTACTAGCTAGAGAAAGTCGGACAGTAGTTGAAAGGGTGTGTGAATTCGGTCCCCAGGGACCTGAAGGCTGAGCTTCTACCCCGTGTGTCTGAGCCAGCTCCCTGGTCAGTGTGTGATAAGGGGTTCCCGGCTTGCATGACCCCATGCTCTCCGTGGGCATTTAACACAGATGGCCCGCACTACCCTAGAATCCCTTTTTGCGGAGGTTTGTCTTGGGTGGGCAGCAGCAGGGCCCGGGAGCTCACGCCTAGCCAGAAACAATTGTACTTGGATAGCACTTCCCAGGGTGGCAATTAAACACAGACAGAAACTGAGGATTTACGCTGCAGCACGAGGCTGGCGACCACAGAGGCCACTGTGTTTCCGGCCAGAGGGCCCGGGAGGCCTGCAGAGGCTGGCCTGGAGGCTGGCCGCCCCTTCAGCGGCTCCTACCCTGCTGGGCGTCAGCCAGGAGTGCACAGTCTGGGTCTGAAACAGAAATGAGCACAGGATGAGACAACTGGAGTCTACTGCGCCAGCCCAGGGGGCTGGGGCTGGGCTGCGGTGGCCACTTGACTAATTGGGGAAGTTAATAATTAGCTGATGTGTTCTAACTGGGCGTAGAGAGCACCCCCAGACCCAGGGCTCCCATGTGTTCCTGGAGGCTGCTGAAATGTTTCTCAAGCTTCACTCCTTTGTACCCCCGCCCTACTTTCTCAGGGAGCAGCCAGCTCTCTGCAGTTAGAAGTATCCATCCTAGCATTGTCCTGCTTTTCCTCCTGAATGGTGTGGTTTGGCAGTGATCCCTGG